ACTGCTGTTAGGGGATGCTGCACCATACCACGTGTTTATTCTCGCTACTTCTCGCCTTTTTACCACTGATCAGTGCTAAGGTAATTTTCTAAGTCATCCTTTGAATTTTCAATTAGGAGGCGTCTTCATAACCGATCTATTTTTTCCCCTAAAACTCCCCCTCTCCCCTTCAAATTCTTCCCGATCAAGATTTTGTTCCAGTCCCAGGCTTTATTGATTCAGTCCCACATTTATTTGCTTGTTTTCGAAAGTGTACTATAGCTGATCGTATTTCCGCAAAGTCAAGGTCGTTGCAAAATAACAAAGAGGCTTTGCGACCTCTTTCAATTTCTGATCAGTCATATATCTTTGATCTTTTTCGCCATAGGATCATCTTCATGTTTTTCGTTTCAAGTTTTCAATTTGAGAGGGAAAGCAGTCAGCTTGTTTCTCATAAGCTTTTGCGAGTCATCGATTCTGTGAGAATGACTAGCAGTTATTGAGATCATTACGTAAAACGATTGCGTCAAAGAATTTTTCTTGCTTTGTCTCCGTTCTAAAATTTCTCAATGTATTACTCCATGACATTTATTGTGCAAACACGTTGTCTTTGGCAATGACGATTACTCAGCTATTTTTTTAAAAGGCTAAGAGACAAGATAACGAAAGTATTCGCTAACCTAGTGCTTGGAAATGATTAACGTTTGTTTGTAAGTAAAACTTTGTGATGTAAAACTTTTTTCAACTTTAGTCGCTGCTTAGGCAGTTTTCGCATATTATCTTAGAGCACTTTTTGGTCTGTAAAAAAGCTCATTTTCAAATGTATTGTTCTTCAATGTAGAACGAACGAACGCGAAACAAGATAAGGAACATTACAGGATATATTAGGTTGAACCGAAAGTTCGTTTGCACCATTTTCGAAAAATCATAACTTCTTTCTTTTACGATGATCTCGCACAACAAAAATGATGTTAAAAAGAGCAAAGCATCTGCTTTTAAGAATATCTTACCGCTCTTTGAAATGCTTTGGTTGCGGAGATAAAATCGGGAAAAAGAAATCGCTTCAACTTCGGAATTTTGAGGCAAGCTCGCTAAAAATTTTAAATTTGTGTCACAAAATCCAGAACAGGCAGTATCCTAGACTATTTGACCTCCTCTTACTAGCTGAGCAGAGTCTGCGCTGATCGAGCTGTTCTTTGAAAAGTTATGATTTTTGCAAGAAAATGTCAAAAAATCAATTTTCTTTCAACAATCAATTTTCAACAAAACATGTTAAAGCGTGGGCAAGGCGCCATTAGAAAGAAGATGCTCTGCCCTTTCTAACATCATTTTTGTTGTGGAGATCTTCGTAAAAGGAAAAAGTTATGATTTTTTGAAAATGGTGCGAACGTTTCGGTTCAACCTAATAATATTGTGAATCAATTTATTATTTTCTAGACATTTGATAAACATTTTCTCGGGTATGCAAAATTCAATGGGATCTAAAATAAAACTTATTTGGCATATGCAGATGTCTATTCCACTGAATATTTCTATACATCTCTTATATGATTATACACTGTGTTGAAACTGAAATTTGTTTATGGTGATAACAGACCAAAATTTTTTGCAGGAAATTAATTGACAGCCTTGAATTTTGTAAGGATAGATTTTTGAAATACGTTCGATTTCGAGCGTGAATCAGCCCTATAATTTTGCAAACTAGTGCACAGTTTTCCCAGAAATGTTGAAAATTATATCCCATCCAGTTACCAAAGAAAACATCTGAGTGCAAAAATAGAGGAGTATTTCAACTTCATATGAAGACTGAATCCATGAAAATATCATCCAACTAATTTTTTAGGTGCGTTGTCCAGCGTTCTCAAACGGTTACGTGCTGGAATGCGCCCATGCATGTTGCCCTTCATTTGAAGGTGCTGATCAGGTAAGGTTTGAAATGACCTATATGAATCCGTCAATGTTCGCAATTGTTCATTATTTTTATGGGTTTATAATTTAGGGCTATTACTGCTGTGGTCCCGACGATGTAAGACGGATTGAAAATGGCGTTGAGAAGACTAGAGCAGAACGATTTGTTGCCTACGGAAGCACTTTCCAGTATGTGCATGTAATTACCACACATTTTCCCTTATCCCAAACTTTCTGTATTTCTTGCAGAATCGACTACACGCTTCTTGTGATAGGACTAATCGTTTCTATTCTTCTATCCATTCTTCTTTCATTCTTCTGTTGTCTGTTGTGCAATGGTTGTTGGCTGCATCGTCGTCGTAATCCACAAATGTACGAGAGTGTTCACGAAAGCGGATGGTATCCACTCTGTTGTGAGTTTGTTGGATTTTCCTTTTTCCTTCGTTTTTCAAAAATACTCTTCAAGATGCCGCACTAGTCTCTGTTTTTTCTCTTATACTACTTGATAAGGAAGCAGAAATTGTTGTTCATTATTACGACTTTTTTGCGAAATGTATGCACAAATTAAGAATAAGTAAAGAAAGCTTGGCAAAGAATATTTTGTGCATCTTTTTCAATTTCTGTGACTAACATACAGCAGAAATATAGGTAAGTAAAGCGAAGAGGCTTATAGGCGCCAAAGCCGCGTTGCAGCCGCGCCGCTACATCTACCGTAGCCATCTAGGAATCTTTGTCTGTCTCATAGTATTGCAAATTTTGTCATAATCGGTGCTATGAGGCTTTTCTAGAATTT